TATAGACATAAAAGTAAAATCTTTGATGTGTATAATATAATGATGAACTGATGAATTCCTATGCTTTCTCTACTCTTTCCACTTCTCCGTCCCATTCGTGTACAAGTTAGTATTTACAATTGATAATCTCAAGTGATGCTCGGGAGATACTCCACTCTGAAGCTTAGTCTTCAAAACTTATCCTCATACTTTGCTACTCACCATTCATAGTGAGAACCAAGACACGGATGAAAACCTCAAATTGTATGGTGGCATGGACTTGCAACCAGGTCGTGAGGGGGGCACGTGGCTGGCTATGACTACCACTGGTCGCATTAGTGCTCTGACAAACTACAGAATACCAGTGGCGGACGTCCGGCCCGATACCTGTGGTCGAGGTATGTACTGTGTTTCTGTAGTGTGTTTTGTTTTTCAGGTCGGTTATGTACGGTTCTCTGCAGTGAGTTTTGTTTTTAGGGTAGGGTTATGTCGGTTTTTCTGCAGGGTGTTTTGTCTTTAGGGTAGGGCTATGTCGGTGTTTCTGCAGAGTGTTTTATTTTTTCAGGGTATATATGAAGGCACGCATGTACCTCAATCTGTGTATGTAGTGTCTTATACAGTCGCAGAGATGGATTGATTTGGTTTGGTGGCCATGATGCAATACGAGAGCGTGCCATATAGTAGTCCAGTGTATTACTATATGGTAGTCCAGTGTATTAGCGGTTGGCGGTGCCTTTGGGATATCAAGTGGCGTAAGTGTGTGTGTGTAGTACAGGCCATGATGCAATACAAGAGCGTGCTATATAGTAGTCCAATGCATCACTATATAGTAGTCCAGTGTATTAGCGGTTGATGGTGTCTTTGGGATATCAAGTGATACAAGCGTGTGTGTGTAGTACAGGCCATGATGCAATACAAGAGCGTGTTATATAGTAGTCCAGTATATTAGCGTTTGGCGTGGCCTTGGGTGTCCCAAGTAGTACAAGTGTGTATGTGCGTGATACAGCCGGGAGTGTCTATCATACTATGGCTGTGCGGCGGTGTGGCGCATACTACCAGTGCAGCATCTTCACCCCGGTGCTTGTTCAGTTCACTGGTCTTCCTCGTGGCTCGCGTAGTCAGTTCCATCCATGTCACTGTGACTGTCTGGTATACCCCTTGCACGTGCGCGTACACATTACACAACGCCAACGCGAGTGCAGAGAATGTCCAGGATATATAGATGCACACACAGACACTAAGCATGTATATCAACTCGATTTGGTCTTGTACCAAGCAATACGAGTTGATCTTAACACATGCACTCGTTTACTACACGTGCTATATATTATCAATATATTATGCTGCATTTGACTACCACACTACTACACGTGCTTTTCTGCACCAAACGTTATCGTCTGCCGTTTGCGTACATACAGGTCAACTGATCACTGACTATCTCAAGAGTACCGAGAGCCCCAGCGTGGTAATGAACAACGTCGACAAAAGGCGAAACGATTTCGCAGGCTTCAATCTGCTGTGTGCGGATGTGAAGGAGGACGATACAGAGTTTGTCTACTATACCAATGCAGAACCATTGGGTATACCTACACTACCCCCAGGTGGGTAGGTGTAGTGTATCCGATCGACCTTTTACATTTAGTTTTTAATTTGCCTACAGCGTATTCGCTTACATATATATATATATATATATATATATAATATATATATATATATATATATATATATATATATATATATATATATAATATATATATATATATATATACATACACTATATGTATATATATATATATATATATATGTATATATACATATATATACACATATATGTATATACATTTGTATATTCATACATACATACATACCATATATATATATATATATATGTATAGTATATATGCTTGCAAGTTTTAAGAAATATGTTAGGGATACACGGTTTTACGCGACTACGAGTCCACAAAATAGGCCTATTTGTGCTGATGTGTACTGGCTGCCCCATATCCACCCACAGGTACATACTCCATGTGCAATAAAGTATTAGACTCGCCGTGGCCCAAGCAACTGAGAGGGAAACAGCAGTTCAATCAGATACTCAATAAATACAGAGGCCAGCAGAAGGGCGCAGACGCCCGCCAACGGTTGGAAGACGAACTACTGCGCCTCATGGGCGATGAAACACGGTATGATATAGTATGGTGTGGTTTAATATGGTATGTTATGGTATGGTATGATATGGTATGATATGGATGCACGTGCACATGCACAGGCACATTAACATTATATGCGTGCTATAATGTCACGCATACATATCACAACCTGCAGATATACATCCACATAGTACTACTATATGTATGTACATGTACATGCACATTTACACTTCATGCATGCTGCACTGTAGGTACGACGAGACTACTGGGCTGCCGCACACGGGAGTGCCCTTGAGCATAGAGATAGACCTCTCGGCAATCTTCTGTCAGGTCAACATGAATGACAAGAGATACGGCACACGCAGCACTTCACTCATCTTCATAGACGACCACAACGAGGTCACGTGGGTGGAGTATGCACGGCCCGATGTGGGGAACGAAGGTACGCGGACAGGATCAAAGGGCATGGGACTAGATGTGTTGTATTAAACGGTTGTAATGTGAGTTGCACCTGCAGTATGGGAAGAGGACCAACGTCTTGTATTAGACGGTTGTTATGTGAGTTGCACCTAAAGTATGGGAAGAGGACCAACGTCTTGTATCAAACGGTTGTTATGTGAGTTGCACCTACAGTATGGGAAGAGGACCAACGTCTTGTATTAAACGGTTGTTATGTGAGTTGCACCTACAGTATGGGAAGAGGACCAACGTCTTGTATTAAGCGGTTGTTATGTGAGTTGCACCTAAAGTATGGGAAGGGGACCAACGTCTTGTATGAAAGGGTTGTTATGTGAGTTGCACCTACAGTATGGGAAGAGAACCAACGTCTTGTCTTTAACGGTTGTTGTGTGAGTTGCACTCGTGTCGCCCTGTCTCGTGATACCCGTCAATGTTGTTTTGGTACGTGGCAGCGTGGCATTCGGACGACACCTGCCATCTCGTACTGACACGTGTCATCTCGTATCGTCACGTGTGATACTGTCACGCGTCAGTTTGTTCTGAAACCTGTCGTTCTATGTTGACACCTGCCATACACTCAGCTGGAAAAAGAACTCAGTCCCTTGCACATAGCTATCACGACGTGCCAGCCATCCCATTTTGACACCTGTCGTTGGATTCTATAACCTGTCATTTAATGTTGACACATGCCATTGCATTCTGCAAACTGTCATTTCA